AGCAGCCACACAGTGGGGCGAGAGGCGGAAGTCAGGAACCATCGGCAGAAGTTCCTCGGGAAACTACAACTCCATCGGTTGGCACAGCGGCTACGCCAACACAGACGGCAGGCGACAGGGCAGCAGATGGAACGACGACGACGACCACCCGCAGTCCGAGTGATGGGAACGACGCGGACAGCAGTGCCAACATCGCCGCTGCGTGGATGCGTGCACCTCTCATGCTGCTGCTCACGGCTGCCCTTGCCTGCGCCGCTGCGTAGGTGGTGAGGTGCTAAAGATACACACACCCACACACCCTGACATGGACGACGCGTACGCTTTGTGCGCTAATTTTGCTTGTCGTCCCTGTGGGACAATACTTCTCCCTCCTGTGCTCTGAGGGATGTTTCTTTTTTTTTTGCTTCGCCATCCCATGCACTTTCCCATTGGCGGCGCACCCTTTTCCCCCTCCTGTTTGCTGCCGCCACCCGCTCACACCCACACACACGCGGTGCCGGTCGCATTGCTGTGCGCCGCACGGATTTTGACGCAACTGAACTTTTGAAGTGCCGGCCGAACGCCGCATGAAATGGGCGAGGGATGTGTGGGCTCTTGCAGCATGGGCGATGTTTTTTATTCGTGCAGGTGTTAAAATACACATGCATCTCTCACGGTCCTTTTGTGCTGCTGGACACGTGAAAGTGAAGGAACACCACCTGCCGAAGTGAGTTCGTTTTATATATTTTTCTTTTGGGATCCTGCGGGGATTACCCACATCTCTTCTCCGTCTCTTTTTTTCTTTTGCTGCCTGGGCGATGCCCGTCGCTGCCGCCGCCGTGTAGGGCCGCGCCGTTATTAAATCCCTCTTCTGCCGGTGTGCCGACGCACCTCTGCGTTGCCTTCCTTTTTTTTTTACTTCTCCTTCCACACACACGCAGAAGGAAAGTGACCAAACGCTCTTTGCCGCCGCTGCTGATTGGAAGGCTTTGCAGCTAAAAACAAGCAACACACACACACACACAAACACACAACCGCCGCGGCCTGGGCGGATCCACCGCAAGGAGAGAGGGAAGAGGGTGAGGGTGAGAGTGAACGGCCCAACATGCCCCGGCGTCTGTTTTCCCCTACGCTGCTGCTTCTTTGCTTGTTGCTATGCTGCGGCAACAGTGGCGCTGCAGCCGCGAATCAGGAGGATGTCATGGATCCGTTTGCAGCGACGACGGAGATCCATGGAGCCGCATGGGAAGGCGTTGGGGCCGCCGCTCAATCGGTCCCTTCCCTGCGCGTCCCCAGCCTTGTTGCGGTGGGGGAGGATGTTTTTGCCGTTGCCGAGGCTCACTGCATGAAGCAGGACGGCGAGGCCGGCTGCGTAACTGGGATTGCGTCGAAGCACCTCAAGGAAACTGTGGAGGGCGCTGCGATGGAGATCTCGGCGGCGGACACAAGTCTCCTTTGCACGCGACTTGTGGAGGGAAGTGACGCGGCTGACAAGAAGGCAATGGACATCATGCGGCCAACAACACTTGTGGTTGGCTCCGATGTCTACATGCTGCTGGGCAGACGTACCCGTACAGAGCCTGAGGAGCAGGCTGCCGGAAAAACTGGCTGGAAGCTTGTGCTGGTGAAGGGAACTGTGACTGGAGACGGTGATAACGGGAAGAAGCTCGAGTGGGGTAAGACCCGTGCGGTGCAGCCCGGATCTGCAGCAAGTCTCAACTCTCTGACGCAGCTGGTGGGCGGCGGGGGCTCGGGCCTTGTGCTGGGCGACGGCACGCTTGTGTTCCCCATGCAGGCAATCAAGGAGAAAAAGAGCGTCTTGCTCGCCATGCGCCTCGGGCAGTCAGAGAATACATGGACGCTTTCGTCCGGTACGACCGGTGAGGGCTGCAGGGACCCGTCCATCGTGAAGTGGGGGGAAGACGAAGAACTCCTCGCGATGGCTCCCTGTGCGGGGGGCTCCTACGAAGTCTACGAGTCTACTGCGGCCGGTACAGCGTGGTACCCGACAGGCGAGCCGATTACCCGCGTGTGGGGCACCTCGCTGAACCGCCAAGGAGGGGACGGCGTGCAGAGCGGCTTCATCACGGCAACCTTCGTGAATAAAAAGGTGATGCTCCTCACCACGCCGGTGTACTCGGAAGAGGAAGGCAACGGAAAGGGTCGTCTGCATCTTTGGCTGACTGATAATTCCCGCGTGCACGATGTCGGACCGGTGTCACGTGAAGCTGATGACGCCGCTGCCAGTTCCCTGCTGTACAGAAGCGGTGCGCCGGCGGAGTTGATATTACTGTACGAGAAGAAGAAGGATGGAGGCTCTTACGACCTCGTATCCCTGAGCCTGGCAAAGCAGCTGGACCAAATCAAGTCTGTGGTGCAGACCTGGAAGGAAATGGACGCCGCCTTGCAAAGCTGCACTTCCTCTGCCGCTGTTGACACGCGGAAACAGGGCGTGTGCAACGGCCCTGTTCCCACCAAAGGGTTGGTGGGCCTTTTGGCCAACACACTGGCCGGGACTGCGTGGGTGGACGAATACCGCGGCGTGAACGCGACTGTGAAGGGTGGGGCGGCGACAAGCGAGAAGGGAGGTGTGACGTTCAAAGGCAGTGGCTCATGGGCGGAGTGGCCCGTGGGAAGCAGGGGGCAGAACCAGCCGTACTACTTTGCGAACAACGGATTCACGCTTGTGGCGACGGTGACGATTCACTTGGTGCCGGTGCCGGCGGAGGACACGCCTTTGCTGGGCGTGAGGATGAATGACGCAGCGAGCACCGTCCTCGTGGGTGTGTCGTGCACGCAGGACAAGAAGTGGAAAGTGACGGTCGGTGGTAAGAACCGGAGTTTGTCAGATGATGATGTGACGTGGAAACCAGGCACAGCCTACCAAGTGATCTTGCAGATGGGTACTGGCGATGAGTTGTCTGTGTACGTCGACGGGGACGGGATCTACGACGGCGAAGAAGATGACGATGAAGTGGAAGATGACGGCATCGCTTCTGAGGCGGTGGCCGAACTCTTCAAGCCGCACAGGATCTCGCACTTCTACGTTGGCGGGGGCGGGGCGGAGGGCACGAAAAGCAGCCACCACGTGACGGTCTCCAGCGTCCTGCTGTACAACCGCGCACTGGGCAAAAAAGAGATCACGCAGCTCAAAAACAGCAAAGTCGCTCAGCCACGGCCGGCTGCTGCGGGGTCAGGCGCAGGGCCGGCTGCTGCGGGGGCTGGCGCGGGGCCGGCTGCTGCCTCCCCCGGGCCCAGCGATGATGCAGAGGACACCGATGATACTCTCGAGCAGGAGTCTGGGGAAATGGGCGTTGACGGTATTCCGGCGGCTGGAGCCCTTCCCCAGCGACTCCCTGACGCGAAAGCGCCTCCGAATCCTACAGTTCAAGCAGACGCCGCAAATCCCTCTTCTCTGGAGCCGGTGGTGGAGTCTTCGCCTTCCGCGCCCCCGTCCCCGGCGGAAGTAAAAATACAAGCACCGGGCGACAGCGACGAGACGGTGGAGGCAGGCGGCGGGGCGCAGTCGCCGCAGCCACCGGAGGAGGCCAAACGTGAGGGCGGCGGTCACGGTGGTGGTGGCGCCGAACTGCACCCTGACGGCCATGCCTCGCCCAGCGCGGCGGCAGCGGAGGAGGGGGTTGGAGAAGAGGAAAGCAGCGAGGATGCCTCGGCGTCTCCGCCGGCGCCATCCGCATCGAGTGTGGCCCCTCCTGCAGCACCGGGCGGCAGTCAGACGCATGCCGGCGAGCCTGCCACCGCCAGTGAGAGTCCAGCCATTGACCCCGAAGAGGAAAACGCTGCTCCAGGCCCAGTGGTGAGCTCAGGCGGCAGCCCTGCTTTGACCGACAACGCCGAACCACCCGCCGCAAAGGAGGCACCCGGCACTTCTTCGCCTGCCACCGCCGAAATGCCTCGTGGGGACAATGAGGAAGTGCCGCAGGGCGTTGAGAGCGCACCGGCTAATAAAAACACGCCACCCGCACCTCAGGCTGCCCCCGCATCGCGCGACGCTGGGCCGCACTTGAGCAACAGCTCTGCTGCCTTCAAGAGCATGGCAGGCTTGAGGCTCAGCGAGGGAGACAGCGACGGCGCTGTGCGTGGGCGCGTGTCTTGGCCAACGCTGCTGACTCTTCTGGCGCTTTGTGGCGTCGCGGCAGGCTTCTGAGCGAAGGAGTGTGGAATTGTGATTCCGCATGGTGAGAGGTGTGCGCTGCGACCCATGCGGGTCTCTTCATTTAAGTGTTCCTTTTCTTTTTTCTTGTTTGTCTTTCCTGTGGGTCAATACTTCTCTCCCTCCTGTGCTATGAGGAATTTTTTTGTTTACTTCGCCACTCCATGCACGTTCCCATGGACGGCGCACCATTCCCCCCCCCCCCTCTGTTTGCCGCCACCACACGCCCACACGCACACACGCGGTGCTGGCCGCATTGCTGTGCGTTGCACGGATTTGACGCAACTGAAGTGTTGAAGTGCAGGCCAAACTTCGCATGAAGTGTGAGAGGGATGTGTGGACTGAAACAACCTGTTTTGCTTTTTTATTCGTGCAGGTAATAAAATATACACACACACTCCCTCACGGTCCTCTTGTGCTGCTGGACACGTGAAGGAACACCACCTGCCGAAGTGAGTTCGTTTTATTTTCATTTAATTTTGGGAGGGGCGTTGCGGGGTTTCCATTTCTTTTCTTTTGTTTTAATGTTTTTTCGTTGGGGCAACTCACTGCGGCTCACGCTGAGTTTGTGCGCCGTGTCCGCCGTTGTTGTCGCTGCGTGTCTCCCTGTCTTGTTTTCCCACTGCCGCCGCTGGCTGTGCCGCCGACACGCCCCCGTTTCCTCCTCCTCCTCCTCCTTCCCGCTAGAGGCAGCTTTAGTTTGCGGCGACGACGGCTCTTTCTTTTTGTTCTTCGCTGCGGCAGAGGAGCGGCAGGCTGTGCGGCGGGCTTTGGACCCGCCCCGTCCCTCTCGCCGCGTGCCTTGTTGGGTGTGCGCTGTGCGGCCGGCTTCTCCCCCGCGTGTCTTCCCCCTCGCAGGACGGGGGCGTCGCACCTCTCTGCGCCGTGCCGCCTGCTGCGGCGTGTGTGCGGGGCTCTCTTTTGCGTCTCGCCCCCACACTTCTCTGTGTGTGTGTGTGAGGGGAGTGCGGCCGCGAGGGGTTCATCCGCCGCCGCCACGGAGGCGCAGACAGTCGTGATGCGCAAAAAAGAAAGAAAAAAAGCCGCACGACGCCTGCGGGAGGCAGCGTCGCTTCGCACGGCGTCCCGCATGATGCGTGCGCCCTGCGGCTGCGGCGGGTGCGGCGGTGCACGGTGGGGGCGTGGCTGCAGGAGGACTCGGGGGAAGTGGCGGTCGTCGGCACGGCGCTCGTGGAGGTGCTGCGCAGCGGCAGTGCGCCCGCAGGCGCTTCGGTGGGGGAGGGGGCGACTGCCGTCGGTGATTTTTTTTCTTTTCGCGGCGGCCACGGGTGAGTGCCGCGTGGGGCTGCGTGGTGTCCGGCGAGAGTCCCGCGGGGAGGGGAGGGGGAGTTCGCGGGGTCGGGGAGCAAGCGACGTGGGCGCTGCGAAGGGGGGCGCGGGAGGGGCGGGGTGGGGGCCGCCGGCACGTCCACTTCGTCCGCGTGTGTGTGTGTGGCGGGAGGGAAAAAAGGGCCGTTGTGCCTCGCTGCGGTGTGCGGTTTGCTGCTGTTGCTGCTTTTTATCCTTAACGGGACGGCAATGCCTCGACCGTTCCTTCCTTCTCTGTTTGCGCGCGTGTTGGTTGAATGCACCCATTCCGCGGGCTGCTCATATCTGTATGTGTTTGTCCCTTTTTTCTCTCTCTCTATTTCTGCCCCTCGCCAGACGCTGTGCGTGCGTGTGTGCTGCGGTGGGAGGAGTGTGGCGATGGCTGGCCGTGCGCTGCTGTTGGTGTGCGCCCTCTGCGCGCTGTGCTGCGCCGCCGGCGGGGGCTGGGCGGCGGAG